ACAAATTGAAGAGGAATGGTGTTGCATTAATCGTCAAAAAGAACACATCCAGATCAGTCATGACATACAATGCTGTCTGTGATAGGATAATATCCATGCGCCTACAGGGAAACCCAGTTAATACCACTCTTGCTCAAAGTTATGCACCAACCACTAAAGCCAATGAGGATGAAATAGAAGAATTCTACCAACTTCTTCAATCTGAAATTGATCAAATGTGCAATCAAGATGTATTGATTATTACTGGTGATTGGAATGCAAAGGTTAGAAACAAAGAGGAAAGATCAGTAGTGGGAAGATTTGGCCTTGGTGATAGTAATGATGCTGGAGATCGCAGGATAGAATTCTTCAAAATCAATGATTTGTTTGTTTTAAATGTCTTCTTTAGACTGCATAAGAGATGATTATACACATGGACCTCACCAGATGGAATACACAGAAATCTAATTGACTACGTCTGTGGAAAGAGAAGGTGGAAAAGCTCCATATCATCAGCCAAAACAAGGACAGGGGCAGATTGTGGAACAGACTATCAATTGTTCATATACAAATTCATATTGAAGCTGAAGAAAATGAAAACAAGTCCATGACAGCCAAAATACCTTCAATGTATCCCACCTGAATTTAGAGATCATCTGAAGAACAGATTTGATACATTAAACCCTTAAGACCAAAGACCAGAAGAGTTGTGGGATGAGATCAAAAACATCATACAGGAAGATAGCAAAAAGTCATTAAGAAGACGAGAAGAAGGAAAAAATCAAAATGGATGTCAGAAAAGACAATGAAACTTGCTCTCTAGCATAGAGATGCTAAAGCAAATGGAAGAAAGGAGGTCTAAGAGCTGAACAGAAAATTTCAAATTTCAGCTCAAGAAAACAAAGTCAAATATTACAACAAAATGTGCAAAGAGCTGGAATCAGAAAACCAAAGGGGAAGAACACGTTCAGCATTTCTCAAGCTCAGGGGACTGAAGAAAAAATTCAAGCCTCGACTTCCATTATTGAAGGATTCTCTGGGCAAATTATTGAATGATGCAGAAAACATCAAAGGAAGATGAAAGGAAGACACAGAGTCACTGTACCAAAAGGAAATGGTTGATGTTCAACCGTTTCAAGAGGTAGCATATGATGAAGAGCCAATGGTACTGAAAGAGGAAGTCCAAGGTGCATTGGAGGAATTGTCAAAGAACAAGGCACCAGGAATTGGTGGAATAAAAATTGAAGTCTTTCAAGAAAGTGAGACAGCACTGCAGGCACTCACTCGTCTATGCCAAGAAATTTGGAAGAGAACTATCTGGCCAACTGATTGGAGGAGATCCATATTTGTGCCAAATAGAGGTGACCAACGGAATGCAGAAATCTTCAGACAATATCTCTAATATCCTATGCAAGTAAAAGTTGTACTAAAAGTAATACAGAAACGACTGCAAGTATACACTGACAGAGAACTTCCTGAGGTTTAAGCCGGATTCAGAAGAGGCGTGGAACGAGGGATATCATTGCTGATGTCCGATGGATCTTGGCTGAAAGCAGAGAATACCAGAAAGATGTTTATTTGTGCTTTATTGACTCTGCAAAGACTTTCGATTGTGTGGAACATGACAAGCTATGGGCAGCATTGAGAAGTATGAGTATTCCAGAACATTTTATTTTGCTCATGAAGAAGCTGTACATGGAGTAAGAGGCAGTTGTTTGAACAGAATATAGGAACACTGAGTGGTTTAAAATTAGGAAAGGTGTGCGACATGGTTGTATTCTTTCACCATACTTATTCAACGTGTATGTTGAGCAAATAATTTGAGAAGCTGGGTTATTTGAAGAAAATTGTGGCACCAGGATTGTAGGAAAACTCATTAACAACCTGCAATACGCAGATGATACAACCTTGCTTGCTGAAAGTGAAGAGGACTTAAAATATTTGTTTCCTGATGAAGATCAAAAACCTCAGCCTTCCCTGTGAATTGTATCTCAATGTAAAGAAAACTAAAATCCTCACCACTGGACTGATAAACAACATTCTTATCAATGGAGAAAAGATTGAAGTTATTAAGGAGTTCGTCTTCTTGGATCAACCATCCACACTAACGGGAGCAGCAGTCAAGAAATCAAAGGACATATTACTTTAGGCAAATCTGCTGCACAAGACCTTTTTAAAGTATTGAAGAACAAAGATGTCAACTTGAGGACTAACGTGTGTCTGACCCAAGCCATGGTATTTTCAATAACCTCATATACATGTGAAAGCTTGACAATGAATAAGGAAGACCGTAGAAGAATTGATGCTTTTAAGTTATGGTGTTAGGGAAGAATATTGCAAGTGCCATGGGCTGCCAAAAGAACAAACATCTGAGTTGGAAGAAGATGGATTGACAAAGTGATTGATATCAATGGGCTCAAGCTTGGCAACAATTGTGAGGTTGTCCCAGGACTGGGCAGTGTTTCATTCTCTTGTGCATAGGGTTGCTGTGAGTTGGTACCAATTTGATGCCACCTAACAACAAAATGGTGCAGCTTCCCCACCTCACATTGGTGTGGTTCACAATCATGTGGCTTCAAACTCCCTGTGTTGAAGCTTGATGAGTGTGGGAGCAGGCTATACATACCTCTGTTCACAAGGTGAGCTTGGGGAAAAGAAGGAATTGCACCTTTAAAGTCTTTGTGTGAATCTGCTCTGCCAGGCCATCTTCTGTTGCCAGAGTTATTCACAAAAGTTCAAGATTAGTGACACCTTTCACCAGTCAATTTCTGTGTCTCTCTGACCCTTCCTGCTTAGTTTCTTATCCCAGGAAACACTCAGTCCGCTTCTCTTAACATTTCCTCTGAAGTTTAGGGCTCCAGAGTTTTCATTTGTGTCTATTTCATTTGGCCTCTCAGAGTCCTTGTGTGGTGCTGTGGGATAAAGCACTGGACCGCAAACTCAGTTTGAACCACAAGGTCAGCAGTAGTACTTCGACTATTTCCTCTGTGGACTTGTGTGACTCATTTTGTTCTGGAATGCCAATAATTCTCAGGTTATTCCTCTTCATGTTGTCCAACATGAATCTTAGATCTTCCTCTGAATTTTTTACCCTTTTTGGGGTTTGTTCTTGTATCTTAGTGGTATTGAGAGACTTGTCTTCCAGCTCACTGATTCTTCCTTCCATCTCATCTATTCTACTCCTCTGCCCTTTCAGGGAGTTTTCTATTTCTGCCATTTTGTTGTTGATTGTTTGGACCTCTTTCTGTAGGTTTTGGATTGTTACCAATGCTGTATCTATCTTGTTTGATTGTTCCTGTAGTGCTTTTTTGACTTCTTCCATTGTAAAGTGTTTTGAGACATTTTATAATCATTTTTCTGAATTCTTTCTCAGCTATCTCCAAGGCCTGCCCTCCTTCCAGCATGGAGAGAAGGTCTACTTCTGGTTCATTTGTCTCAAATATTTTATCTTTTTTCTGGAATGTGCCGATATGGTCATCTGCTTTTGCTTCTTGGACATGTTTAATGTTTATCTGTGGCCCTAGTAATTAATTATGTGTTTTGGTAACTTTTTATGTTTTCTGATTACCTCCAGGAAGATATGATCAGGTTGTGGTCTTCTTTTCACACTCCTTATTGCTTAACTCAGAATAACTTTTTTTGGGCCTCAGTTGGGCCTGGGTCTTGGCAGTGGGCCGTTTGGGCCTCGGGCTGGTGGGTTGAGCCTAGGGCGGGCGGTTTGGGCTTCTGGGGGCCTTGGCATCAGCGACTGGGCTGCAGGAGGGTTGGGCCTCGGGCGGGCGGTTTGGGCCTCAGGGGGCCTGGGTATCAGCAGCTGGGCATCGGGCAGCTTGGGCCTCAGCGGGCGGGTTGGGTGGATTGGGCCTCGGGAGGGCCTGTGCCTCAGGGACCCTGCTGAGGGCAGGTTGGGTCTCAGGGCCACTGGGCCTTGGTGACCGGCCTATGCGGTGGGTTGGGCCTCCAGGGCCCTGGGCCTCAACAACCTGGCTATGCGGGTTGTGGGTAGGTGATTTTGGCCTTGGTTGGGCCTGGGCCTTTGTGACCAGTCTGTGGGCAGGTTGGGCTTCAGGGCAGGCCTCAGTGGGAGTGTCTTGGGCCTCAGTGGGAGTGTCTGGGCCTTGGGAGGGCCTTGGCCTCAGTGGGTGGGCCTGTGCCTTGGGTGTTCCTGAGCTTTGGCGGCTTGGCAGAGGGCTGGTTTAGGCCTGGGCAGTAGAGGGCTGGGGTTAGTGGCTGTAGGGAGGTATTGTCCGTATCTGATAACATAAAAAATGCCTCTTTCAGTCTCTCTGTACTGTGGGTACCCCAAATTTCCTGATATCTGCGCCGATATCCCTCTCTGTTTGGCTTTGTTAGTTTATGCTTCCTTTTCTCTGGAAATGCAGCCTTCTAAGTGGGGTTGCTCTAGCTCTGCATTCCAAGGTCTGCAGGGGGCAGAGGCACTTGCTGGCAGCAGCCGTGTGCAGGCAGGCAAAAGCTTAAAATGCCTGTAATTCCTCAGCAATTTGATCTTTTTAAAAAACGAGTTCAGAATATTGAAATATAAGATCTTATGTTTGTTCAAAGGCTGTCTGCCTGCTAGACAGATGTTTTCTATGTGCGATTCTGCCCCCTTTCCCTGTAGCCCTACCTGAGCTGCCTGGTCCGGGAAGCGCCGCCCTCAGTCGCCTTTCTTTGCTTTTTAAAAACATTATATTTTCTCCTTTCCATCCTATTTTAGAAACAAAGCAAGTTTCTAATTGATTTTATTAATCTGTTTTTCTCTAGTCCTTAGTACAATGTCTGACACATACTAGGTATTCAGAAAATGTTTTTATTGAGTTACTTACATTAAAACAAAAGAGCAATCAAATAAAAATAAATTATCAAAAAGCATGCACTGGCTAGGAACTAATTCTGAAACAAATTCTAAAAGCCTTCTGGCTTTGTGTTTCTACAGAAAATGTTTTACCATGTGTTCTAGTGAGAGATGGGATTGCGCTTACTCTTTCTTAGAATATCTCTGTGTTCTGGCTTTCCCTCAGGCCTCCACCCCCTGCCATGACAGATGCTGAGGATTTGGAGTACACTCATTTTGCAAACCAGCATAATTCCACACGTCATTTCTCAAAATCAGAATCCTCTCATAAAGGTAAGCATATCTAGTTAGCCTTCAGGATCTTTATAGTCTTCACGCTATGGTAAGCAAAATCAAATGTCATCTTAGTGATCACTAGAGTGGAAAAATGTATTATTCTTCCTTGCACCATATTCTTATTGTTCATCCTCATACCCTACCCCTCTCCCCTTTTTCTTTCCCTAAACAGAAAATATAGCAAAGATTGTCAATGTATTTGCATTTTACTCTGGTGAGGGTTCACAGATTGCATCAGATTCTTAAAGGAGGAGCTGGACACCATATCCTGACACATACACCTCAGCCCCACATGGCAAATATTTTATTTCCACTGGGCCACTTTTTCTGTATTACTAGCTCTTATTTCCCGTCTGCTTATGACTCTGGTAATTAGATTAAAACACACATGCACACATATAAAACGAATGGGACAAATGATAAGGAAAACTATGGAGATCTGACTAACTGAGCCAAAACTTTAATAGGGAAGGAATAGTTGGGCAGCAATTTGTTTTCCAAGAATAGGCATTCACTCTATATATTTTTACAACAATCAAAATGAAAAAATGTAAAGGTACCTTCTTACGTGAATTTTCCAATTTATAACATGGAGATAATACAAGTACTAAGTAGCGGGAATATTAGGATTAAGTAAGATAAACTATGTGAAAGCAGCTGTCAGATAGAAATAAAATTTACAAATAAATATTACCTACTTCCCCACTGTCATCAAGTTGATTCTGACTCATAGCAACCCTGGATAGGATTTCTGAGACTAATCCTTTACAGAAGCAGACAGGAATGGCTGGTGGGTTTTATGGTGTTGTTAAGTGCCATTGAGTAGATGATTCCAACTCATAGTGACCCTGCATAGGGTTTCCTAGGAGCAGCTGGTGGGTTTGAACTGCTGACTTTGCAGTTCAAATGATTTTGCACATTAGCCCTGTATAGGGTTTCTGATGAGTGGTTGGTGGGTTTGAATCACCAACCTCATGGTCAGCAGTCCAGTGCTTATCCTTTATGGAGTCCTGGTGTGATGCTATAGGATAAGCACTGGGCTGCTAACCACAATTTGGTCATCAGGCCCACTCGTCACTCCTTGAAAACCCTACACAGGACGGCCATGAACCGGAACCGACTCAATGGCATTCAACAACAACATAACACACACATATATATTTTGTT